TATTGAAATCCATGCTGGTCCTTGCAGGGTCAGCTACTACACAGCACAAGTAAGGTGGGCAGAATTTGGCCCTCTGAATGTAGATACTTGAAAGTACAGAGAGGTAGGGGACTTAAATAGATTTGGAATCAAGACACCAGATCTAAACATCCCCCAGCTTTGGGTCGTCTGAGATCTGGATCAGTCCAGACCTTTCAAAATTTGAGAGAGAGAGAGGGGAAGAAGTTTCCTCCCCAAACCCAGCTATAACAATTGTGCTCTCAGAAACCAAATATAAGCCCTTACGGCCCAGGAGGTGAACACTTCAGATTGAAACACTACAGAGAACCCTGAGGAATCATTCTGCCATGGAACTTTGCATGAGTGCATGCTTAGTGCTGAATACTCAGCGGATCTACTATTTCCCTGCTCCTTCCCCCACCCCAAATCCCCCTCATCACCTCTAATATCAAGGTCATGTAAACAGCTTGGAGAGACAGACCAGCATCTTTTGGATTAGTGGTACTTCAGCCTTGTGTGCAATTGCAGGCCACTCCAGCAAAGGGAGCTTTGTTAACTCAAGCTCTCTCCCTAGGGAGAGAGGAGAAGCCAAGGGCACAGGACCAGAACTGGCAGTACACCGTGATACCCCCAGTAAATGGCAACGTTGATCGGCTATATTACCGCACCGCAAACCCCATGTTGAAATAGAGGCCCTGCCAAGTCAGGACTTTGTACGTTTCCACAACCTGTCCTCATCTGACAAGTACCAGGACTGAATTAGTTGAATTAATAAAAAGGGCACTTGGGAATTGAAGAAATAGGAAGGGAGCAGACACAATTAAACAAGAGTCCGGCCTTTTGAACTTGCAACTTCCGCAACTGCCAAAAAGGTAAAACAAAGAAAAAATACTGAGACACGCTAACAAAAGCTCAGCTCTCCCCTGTCACAACCACTGTGGATCGGAGAGGATTTTGCCAGCCATGTGACCCAAACCACTGTCGCTCGATCAAGAACAGCTGGTGGCAACAAAGAATTTGGCCAGATGTGATCTGATCTTATTTTCTGATGATATGTTTTTACCATGGGGCCTCGGTTCTTAAAGATCTGATAAGTCACTTTTCTGAACAACCGAGCTAAAGGAGTAGAAAAAATGTCAACAGGCAGACAGCTAAACTCCCAACACTCCAGCAGCAAGCAACCAACAATAAAAGCAAGCTTGTTTAATAACATCTCAAATGTATTGATCCTCAGCAAGTGATCAAACTCAGCCAGTACTCCGGGGTGAAGAAAATATCCCTCTCACTCACTGTTTAGCAGTTTGAGTCACATTTTCAACTCCCTAGTTTCTAGGTCAGCAACATTGAAAACATATTTGGGGGGGGGGAGACCAGAGGGCCACAGCACTGCTACCCAGTGAGGGCATAGGGCTCCAAGCCCTCCGGTTTTTTCTCTCAGTAATGAATCGAGAACAGGTAACCATCAGTGGAAATGCCAGCTTCCCAGGCTGCGATCAGTGGCTGAGCTCCCTTTGAACTGCTGCCTGCAGGTGCTTGGTGGAAGATTTATTTTTTTAAACAACACTAATTTTCCAAGGACAAAAGTTAACCTGTTTGCACTGGCAGACTTGTGTACCGAGATGCTTTTCAAGTTGAAATAGGCACCTCGTATGAGCAAGACAGGCTGGGGGGATAATAAGGAATCCACTGAAAACACCTGCACATTTTTGAGATGCCACCTGTCTCAAAACGATCATTAAAAGAGGCTAGAAAACACAGCGAGATCAGCAATGGTAAATAATAATATTCATAATGGTAGATAATAAGCCCATTCTGTTTGGCAGGCTGACATTAGCAAATATTTCCTTCCCAAAGACAATGCTTTAGCAAGTTTCAAGATTTCCTAAGATGCTTAAATAAGTGCAGCATTGAACTGCTCAGCTAGTGTGAATGAGATTTAGGGAAACCACTGGAAAGTATTCATGTGATTGGGAACTGAAACCTCTATTCTAAGAATGAAACAGACTGTTTATCAGATAAATTATCCTCATCACAAAAGTAAAACAGCATTCAAGACTATAGAAGAACAGCGCCAAGTTTCTCTAACAACCAAACTTAACCCTGATTTAACCCCTCACTGATTAGTCCGAAATTGGGGAGGGCTAAGGGGAACCAGACAACAGATGTTAATCACCTACTCCCACCCTCTACACTACAGACTCAGGTATTCGGCATGTGTGTAATTGACTAGCTCGCTCCCTGAAAGAGCTGAATGGATTTAATAACTTCCTTCTATTTACTCAGGAAGATGCTGTCTTTTATGTACACGACCCTGCTGGCAGTCAGACAGCTTTTGATTAAATTGGGTTTGTGTTTTTATTATTTCTTTTAAAATACATCTAACGAGTTTGGAGGCGGTAAAGCGTCTGTAACGCTACAAAGAAAATGTTGAGCGCAGCTCTGACACCAGGGAGGGTTTTAAAGAAGGGGCTAAGAAAGCCCCCTTGCTAACAGTGCTATTTCCCCTTCTCTTAGAGGATTAGACTTGCCCAAAGCAACAGCACAGCTTTCCCGCAATCCTGGACCAGGAAGAGGGAGTCAAGCAAGCAGGTAACTCATATGAATCATGGCTCACCCTGGTGACCTCTAATTTATTCCATTAAACCCTGAATGGTCTCTGATTTTTAGCAGACTGCTGCAATCTATGACTCTCCAGGGCCCAATTCTGTGTTTTTCCTAAACCCCACACTCAAACGACTCCTTATTGGTCTTTTACATCCAGCACAAGAGAAAGGAAAGCAGCTTTTAGAAGAAACAGGCCCTTCCCCAGATCCCCTTAAAGTCAATGGGGAAATCTCCCATTGGCTTCAATGGGCTTTAGATCAAGTCCTTTGAGCGCCCATTCTTCATTTCCAGTAGTGATTGAAAGGGGGATGGGAGAATCATCACGTAGCCCTTCAATAAAGGAACAGAGACCAGTGGAAAAGACTGGTAAATCCCATGGAAGGCTCCTGGAGCCTTCCAGTCAAGCAGCAGCCCCTAAATTAAATACGAGGTTCTGTAATTACACTACAGCTAACGCACCTGGAGAAGAGCCTAAGTGATGGATTTAGAAGGATGCGTTCCTCACTGAGTATTCAGCCCAACCATCATCTCCGACTGGCTGGGGGCTGCAGAGAGCACCAGCACTCAGGATTGCATGAAAAAGCAAGTTTGTGCCACCACCTGCCTTGCACAAGTTAAATTATTTAAGGACACCAGAGCCAGGCTCAAAATCGACCGTAAGGAACCCTCCCCTCCTATTCTCCCTAGCCCCCCGTCCCCATCGCTTTATGTTCCTTTCCTGTCCCTAGTTAACATGTCTCAGCCATGCCAGATCTAACACTTCAGTAAACTGCCCCCCTCTTTAAAGGTTTGCCATTGATTTTTTTTTATGTAACTATGGCATAGAAAACAGGATGAGTGAGAAATGAGCTACCACGAGCACAGATTTGCAAGAGAGAGGCTCCTTCTGTGGTTCTTTTTGTCATGCAAATGTTGTAATTATACATTTAAAGTGTAAAACGCTCTCCCATCACTGTAGTAGATGGTGCTGTCTGCGCTTTCCTAGACTCTCCTATCTAATCTGCACCCAGGAGCGCTTTATTAAACACCCATTCTTGCTCCCTTTCCTTTGTTCTTTTAAACAGATGTCTGGTCGTTGCGAGAGGGAATGATTTTATCTACTTATTCCCTCCCCCCCCCCTAGTTTAATTGGGGGTGAAGGTGTCTGAAATCTGGCCATGTTTGTAGAATAGGTGTGGGGTTAGGGTCCATTGTGGTGTCTAAGCAGCTGCTGGGTTGAAGAGGATGGGGGGGAATCCCAGGCTCGGTTAAAAGTAAATGCACGCATACATCCATGCAAACCTCTCTTAGGGGCGATCTCTCAGGGGCTTTAGACTATGGGCCTAGCAAAGGAAATGCTAGCCAGGGACCCTGATGCAAAACCCATTGAACCCAGGGGGAGTCTTTCCATTGACTACAATGGGTCACGCGCCTAGAGGGGATGGGGAAAATGAGGCTAAAGGATAGATCCCCCCTCCCCCCACACACAACTTCTGTAGATAAGGGAGCTGGCATCATCAGGGCCTTCCAAGAGGAACTTGCACCAACCCCTGGGGTGGAGGGGTCTTTTGTGCCAGCGCAATCCAGCCTTATCCATGTTCAATTTCATTCCCTTTCACCTCCTCAATGAAAAGACAGGAGGGGGAACGGGCTGAGTGCAACTCCATCTCCCAGACAGACCTGCTGTCCCTCTCCAGAGCGTTACATATTGTTTCCATTCTCTCTAGTACTTTTCTGGAATCCCATGTTATGACTTCAACCCCGGAGAAATCCCTGCCTACTAAGGGAGGAAACATTGAGAAACCCCTTCGATAGATTCTGGAAAAACTTCCAAGAAATGAATTGGAGACAGACAAATGAAACCGAGGGAGCTGAGCTGCAGGCACACACCCGTCCACCCCTCCAGCCCCCTCCTCCACGGGAGGAAAAGCTGCAAACTTTGGGAAGGAACGCAGGGAGAGTCTCCTCGGAGCTGGATTTCTGAGCGGAGCAACTAGCCACTCTAATGACTGTTTTCGTCAATATTCGTGTCTTTGTTTTATCAATATTTGCATCGCGTCTCTGCTTTCTCCCCCCTTCCCTCAACCTGAAAGCGGAGTCTCCGGGTAATTTTACAATATTCACCAAGTCCAGGCTCTTTTTCCAACTCTCCCTCCTCACCCCCTTACACACACACCCCCAAGCCTTTTCAGCATCTGGAGAGCTTCCAGCTGTGCAACTGCTGGCGTCCCAGGGTGCTCCATGAACCTATAAGCCTTGGCCCTGCAAAGTCGCCTTCATGGAGATAACTTCTTGGGATGGGGGCAAAGAGGTCCAGGGAGCTCTCTAATCTGGAAGCCCCGTGGAAGGGAGGCAGGGTTGGAAAGGGGTGCCCAGGCTTACCTTGGCAGTGCCACCTGCCAGCTTGCAAAGGATATGGGTTGCACACCACCCGAAGGCACCAGCTCCTGGGTCTGCTCTCCTGGCTCAGATAAAAGAAGACGACCGGGGCCAGAGCCGGGTAGGGGAGCCCCTCCACCTCCGAGTCCCCACTTCCTGCGTCCTTGTCCCCTGGACCCGAGCGACCTCCATTCCCGGACAGGTCATTAAGGCGGATGAAAGTCTTGGATTTGCCCGGCTCTGGGTCCTGCTCCTCGGCTGCTCTCGGTCCATCTTCGTCCATCCTCCGGCCAGCAGACCCGGGTCCGAACCGGGAGAAGGAAAAATGTGCCCGGGGCGTGAGGGGGTTATTAGAGGGTCAGGGACCTACAGGGAGCAGCCATGCTGGGTGGGACTAGGGGACTGCGGAGGGTTCGGGATAAGGTTCTGGCTCGGTTCGGTGGTTCTGGCTCGGGGAAGCTTCAGACACAGGGCTGCAGCCTCTTTCCCTAGGTGGGCGCCTGGATGAGCGCAGGTCCCCCCTTTGCAGGCATTTGGAGCCGGATCGAAGCCGAGCCGGGACCTGGCTGGCCCGGTTCTGCTTCCCCCTCCTCCGGTCCCGGTAGCTCCTCCTCACTTTGCTCTCCTCTGCCTGCCTCCGGGATCCCGCTCCAGCCCGGGAGGAGGTACCGTCTCAGCCCCTGCAGCGGGGATGGAATCCTTTCCCCGGCTCCCCTCCCAACTCCAGTGCGCACCAGCCGCGCAGGGGCTGCTCCCAGTCCAGCCTGGGCTGCGTTTAGCGGGTCCGCATCTGTCCCTCCCGTCTGCACATCTGGCCGTGCCAATGGCAGGGCAGGTCCTGGAGGGCGAGAGTCGGGGGACCCCCCCTGGGGCAAGGAGGGGGCTTGGGGTCCACGAGCCTCCCCTGGGGGCTGGGCTCCTCCTGCCCTGCAAGGGTTATCTGGGGGGAGGGGACGCGCGGGTGGGGGGGGGAGCGGCGGAGGGAGCCCGCTAAGGATGCTCCTCCTTAGCGCTGCCTCTCGGACAGCAGAGCGAGCGAGAAGCTGAGAGCTCCGCGCGCCTCACAGCTGGATCCCTCACTCCAACTTCCAGCCCGGGCACCGCCTCCCCAGAGCCACCGTGGCAGCCAATCTGGGCTCGCCTCTGGCCCCTCGGACCTTTCCCATTGGCTCCAGAAGGTGGCAATTAAGGGATACAGCGGCGGGGGCCACAGCTGGAATCTGAGACAGTTACTAGAGCGCTGGGAACCCCTCCCACCCCAGCCCCGGTGCACGGGCAGCCAATGGAGCTGGAGGACGGGGCGAACCCCCCTTCGGATTGGCTGCCTGCCTCTGGGGCTCCGAGCCTGAATTGCACAGGGAGAGCGCGAGCTCCGGCTAGTTAGCGGAGACAAGGGAGGGGGGCGGTACTTGAATCCCGCGCCGGCCTGGGTGGGGGTTATGAGCGAGCCCGGGCCAGCCCGTCACACGCGGGGAGCCTCCCCGGGCGGGCAGCGAGCAGGGGGGGGCGCTGAGGCGCACGCACGGCAGGCGGCTCGAAGCTCCCAGAGCCCCTTGGGGAGGGAGGGGCGCTGGACTGTGGCTGCACTGGGGGGGAGGCGAGGTTCTGTAGCGCCCCATGCTGGAGGTGGGGTCCCGGGCAGGGGAGCGGGCCGGAGGGCAGCGCACCCCTCGGGGCTTGGTGCACCCAGCAGGGGCAGGGAGGGGGCTTGGGCGGATCTGTGTGTCCGGCAGCCCGGTGCAAGCTGAGCCGCGCTGGCCGGGAAAGGAGGGCAGAGGTTAAGAGAGCGGAGAGACCGAGGGCCCGAGCTGTCCCCAGGGCCAGTTTATCATCGACTTCAGCGCTGGCTGGGTGGGGCTGGGCAGCACCTGCCTGGAGCAGGAGGATACACCGGCTGGGCTGGGGCCAGACAGCGCTGCCAGAGGCGGAAGCGACGCAGAAGGGGGAGCAGGGGATGCAGGCGCCTTTAGCGAGGCCCCCAGGGCGCCTGGTCCCCGGGCTCTCTAGAGTTCGCCAGAGCAGCTTCGGTTTCCTTGCAAGTGCCCCGGAGGCTCTGGCGACACTCACCACCACACTGCGCCCGCAGGAGCCGGGTCTGGGCAGAGATCCCGCGCTGGCTCCGCTCTCACTCTAGCATCCGCCTTGCGCTAGGGTCGGTTCTGTTTCTCCCCTGTACCTTCTCCTATTCCCCCCAAGGGCGGACGAGACATTGCTTTGGCTGGAGCGAGCCAGGGGGCTGCCCCATCGCACCCTGGTATGCCCGCTTCGGCGCACCGCCCCCGCCCCTGCACAGGTGCCCCTGCCCGGGGCGCTCCCCTGCATGCTCACGGGCACCCTCCTGACACGTCCTGCCACACACCCCTGCGGAGGTACTAGATTTCCTTCCCTGCAATGACTCCTGGTGCAGGCTCGGGGCAGCCCTGGGCAGGAGCTGACAACACTGAATAGACTCTGGGAAGCGAGGCGTCAAGGGGAGATTTCCAGGGTTACAGGCCCCCAGGAGGTGCAAGGGAAGAGGGAGCCATATGTCCTCAGCAGACGGTGCAGCTGGGCCTGGAGGAGAGGGGGAGCTGTATCAGAGGTGAAGCGTGCCCAGAGACCAGAGAGTGGCGTGGAGGAGCGTCTGCAAGGGAGCGAGGTCTAGCTCTAGGGGAGCCCAGCGTTTGCCAAAACCAGGGCAGAGCTCCCGTCACTCCCCTGGCTTGGGTAAGCCATGCTATCCCCGCAGGTCCCCCTCCTCCCTGGCTGGTGCGGTGAGAGCTCCCCCTGCTGGCTCGCTGGGCTCTCACCACTCAGGAGGGCTCTACAGAGAAGCCATGGGTGGGGGGGGGGAGGGGAGGAAATGGGTTATGGGGGGCAGAGGGGTGGGCAGGGAGGAAATGCCACTTGGAGAGACAGACAGCTGGGCTGAGGAAAGCAGGATAAGCACAAGCCTGAGGAAAGCAGGCTTCATGGTAGGTAACTGGTAGGTGAGGCGGCTGGAATCGTTCTGATGTCTGGATGCACAGGCAAGAAGCAGAGCCAAGGAAATAGGGGATTAGCTCTGGCGGCCCCAGAAGGGATGGAACAGCCCAGGGTTTAAGCGAGACATAGTGGGGATTCAATGCTGAGGGCCATGTGATGTTGGGAGGAGAGCAGCCAGGGAGGATTGCAGTTATGGGAGTCTGCCAAGGTTGTGGATGGGTCTGGGAACTGGACTATTATGGCTTGAGAGGTAACAGGAGTACCTGGGTAGGGCTGTAGAGTAAACTGATGGGACGGTGGAGCAGCTCAAGATACTATTACTGATTTGCATGCCTGTAGTGCTTTGAGGCCTTAGCCAAGATGGGACCCCTGCGGTACAGTCACAGAGTAAGAGACAGTACCTGCCCCAAGGAACTTACAGTCAAAGCAGACTGGTAGGGAAAAGGTAGGAGACCAAGAACTTGCCCAATGGTACACAGCAGGTCTGTGATAGAAAACCTGAGTTCTATTCCCTGCTCTAATTCCTACCCCAGTGCCCTAGCCACTGGGCCATCTCACCTCTCCAAGAGGGCTGCTGAAAGAAAACTGAAGTAATGGAAGCTTCTAACTCCCCAGACTAGGGTGACCAGACAGCAAATGTGAAAAATCGGGACAGGGGGTGGGGGGTAATAGGAGTCTATATAAGAAAAAAACCCAAAAATCGGGACTGTCCCTATAAAATCGGGACATCCAGACAGGTCTGTGTCACAGGGGTGGCTGCCATGCACTCTGTGGCAAAGAGAAGTAGGACAAGTCATGACTTATTGCACCCCAAAGTAGTGATGCCTTCAAACACTCCCCTTTAAACACAGCTACCTGAGTGTACCTGCAAAGCTGCAGACCGGTTTGAGTGAGGGTCCCCTTTTAAAATTTGCTCCTGGAGGCTTTTAATTGTTGCATTCCCCTCCCCCTCCCTCCCATCCCTTCGTCCGGTCTAGTCCCCCTGTGTTTTTTTCAACTCCTAGAGTCCTTTCCCCCTCCTCATGTCACATTATCCTTGCCTTCTTCAGTGGAAGGGCGGGTTGCAGCCCCTTATAGAGTCTGCCAGCAGCCCGCCTTCAGCAAGCCAGAAGCCACCACTAGATAACAACAGGCAGAAGTTCTCCCTGACCCAGCACCTGCACTCCCCTTTGTGCGCTGAATCCTGCAGGCCTGGGAGCAAGGTTGATCTTGGATTCAGACCTGTGCTATTGTGGCTGGGACAGAATATTACATTTATTGGCAAAACTCCAAGGCAAACTTGGCTCTGTTCCAGAATTCGCAGCAGGAAAGTGTCCAAAGAGGCAGAGGAAAGTTAAGTCACACTCAGGGCCATGCTCTTCCCTCAGGTGCACTCCCAAAGCTACAGCTCCATAGACATCAGCCAAATTGCCCCAGGGAAACTCATGGAGTTGGGCAGCTGTAAGGGAGTGCATGTGGAAGAGTTGGGGGGGGAAGTGTACTGGAAAGAGGAGATACTGATTGCTCAAGTATATAGGATGGAAACCTGGATCCTTTCCCACATCTGGGACAGTTTAGGGGACCAACCCCATCTGGGACTATTTGAGAGACCCTCCTGCCCCAACTGAAGGCCATTTCTCCCCCACCAGCTATACTGGATTGGGAAGGGGTGTAGGTGGGGCTGTCTTTGCTGATCAGGTCCTGAAGAAGGTGTTCTCAGAGATGGGTGGGTGGGAGCTGGCTGGTAATACACTACATTCCTGGGTTACCATCCTGGTGCGAAATACCAGACTGGAGTCCCTTATCCACACAACAGACACAGCACATGCAGCAGCAGTGTGTGCTTCTGCTACCCTATTTGCCAGGGTGTCTAGGTCTGATCTGCAGAGAGCACCTCAAGGGGGTGAAAGAAAGTTAGTCACTCTTTGGCCTCTCTACTGAGCCTTGTGATGCCACCAGTGAGTACCAATCACACTATGGGGGTTGTGATGGGGATGCCTACCTGCTAAGAAATGGATTGCTAAATCCCTTCCACACAGGCCACTGGACAGCTGTCAGACGGTAACAAGTGTCACTCACCAATGGCCCAGTCTGGCGAATCAGAAGAATGAGGCTTGGTTTTAAAACCCACAGCAGCAGAGCCCCCCATGCCCTTCCCATTCTCCACCTACCAGACTGGCAGGGGAGCTCGGGATCTCTGCCTTGTAGTGGGGTGGTGGGGTAGGGGCTTCTGCCCACAGGGTGCACCTTCTGGGGCTTGGGGCTTCAGCAGGAGTAGGCCTGAAGCCCCAAGCCCTGGCAGGCGCCTCCCATGGGGCTGAAAGTGCGCCCCAGCTCTCAAACTTCTGAAGATTGTCGTATTTGGCTTGGAGGGTAAGTCTGGCCACCCCAGCTCTAATGCACACTATGTGCCATCCCATTGCATAAAGCTAGGGGGAGAGAAAAGCCACTCATGCCCCTCCAATTTCATTGTTGGCTCAAAACTCTCTGTGCCTGTTAAATAGCAAAGGTGCAGTGTCTGAGGAGATATGAAGACCACTCCCCATTATTCCTCACAGCGCCCAGAGACCCCTAGTTGAGATCAGGGCTCTGTAGTGCTAGGCTCTGCACAGAGATGGCCCCTGCCCGGAAGAGCTTACATTCCCAACAGAAAGGGTGGGAGGGGAAAACAGATACAGAGGTGACTGGCCCAAGGTCACAGAGCAGGTCAGTGGCAAAGCCAGGAACAGAAGCCAGGTCTCCCAGTGCCCTCTCCACTGGACCACACTCCAGTCACCCCGCAAACACCAAATTCCTTGAATAGTGGAAGATCTGGATTTGTGTTACTGCTAACACAACCCTGGCTCTCTGCCTTGACTGCTCCCCAGAGAATGCTATTCCAATAGCACTGTTCTAGGTCTTTATACTAATAATGTCATTTACAGAAAGGTCCACAAAACATATTTACATGTGCAAGGTGCAATGTTAGATCAAGTGATTCTCCATGCTCTGTATGGATAGATGGGACACAGA